GGGGGGGGGGGGTGGCCATTCGGCAGGGTGGGGGGGTGGCACTGCAAAGCGCCCATTTGTCCTGGTCAAATAAAGTTTTTAAAGAGGGCCAGCCCCTCCCTCTGCTCATCCTGCTGGTGGAGTAGGGGGGTGGATCTGCAGGGTTTGTGGGAGAGACCTCTACAGAGCTCACAGTGGAACATTTCAGGAACTTCTCAACATTGCAGAACAGGTCCGCACTGCTTTTGACAGATGTTTGTGTGCTCCGTCTTTGAGCCTGTAAAGCGGGTCCAGCCAGAACCCCTATGTGTGGGGGGGTCCTCACACCCCCTGCTCTCACAGAGCCGTGTGCCGGTTTGTCTACAATCAGAGTGATGCAGAGAAAGATGCAGATGTGATTGAGTACTATTACGACGCCTGCGTCCTTTACGTACGGCCTGGACTGTTACTCATACTCCTGTAGGGTGATTCAGTGGGCTGCTGGGATCTGAATACGGGTGGGGGATCATATGATCCCGTTTCTGGTGGTCAGACCTGGCTTATGACTGGATTCTCAGAAGTCTGGGCTAAAGGAAAATGCCATCTCATTACCGGTGGAGTTTATAGGCTTGCAAACACAGGCTGGAATTATACGGTGCCAGTAATGGTTGGCCATCAGGGACCCCTCTGCCGGGGGGCGGGGGCCTTATTTTATCTAGGGGGGCCTGTTTGGAACATTTCATTACCTGGCTCTTGTCTTTTTTTCTCTTACCCTCTCATTTGACCTTTGCGTCCGCCTCGTCCGTTTAAAAGGAACTGGCAGTCTTCTGGAACTTTCCAACTTGGGCTCCTTGACTGGCGGGGTCACCGTTGCCACAGTAGCTGCTTAGTATCAGGGGTTGCTCACGTCCCTCTCTTGCAGGGCTCCCCCGTCTGGCCATCCGCAATGGCGCCATGCTTGGCTCTTTTTTTTTTTTTTTTTTCCCCCCCCTTTTGGATCGAAAGCCATTGCGATGTGTCCAGCCCTACCCCCCATCCCATCTCCACCCCCCAGGAAAGCTTTGCTCATTTGTTAGTCTCCCAAGAGTTAACCTTGGTAAACAAACCGCACTCAGTTCCCTGCCAGTAAATGCCCAACCCCAGCTCAGAGTATTATCTTGCCTGACCTCTGACCCTGAACTTGTGACCCCCAGGCCTTCTGGAGCCGCTTCGTCCGACACCTCTGATTGGCTGCTCCGCTCCCTTTGTCTCCAGGGGCCCGCATTTGCCTGGGTTTGGCCATTTTTTCCCTCCACACTCGGCCTCCACCCTTTATTCACGGTGTGTCACTAAGCCTAGTCTTCACCATGCAGCTGTACTCTCGTTTTACACGATTATGCCATCAAATCGGTTAATCTTTGTGTGCCACATTTTAACGCGTTTTAACCCGATTTTCGTTTTGTTGGATGCTAGCAGAGTGCATAAATCCCCTTTCTATGAAATGTGGTTTAGCAGCATGGGTGCTGACCCCCATCCCACCCAGCAGGTGGCGCAGGGAGTCGCTGAGTGTGCTGGTGGTCCGGCCCTTAGCCCCCCTGTCAGGTCTCCATTAGCCGCTGGGAATCGTGGGTCTCGTCAAGGCTTCTGGCCCGAGTCCCATGTCGTGTTGTTTTGGAGGGTGAAGGTGTGTGTATTGACGCGTTCGGACTGGTCGAATGTTTGTCTGGCACTGGTGGACACCGGAGGAGAATATCTGGGTTAGTGCTGGGGGTGTGTGGATATGGGGGCCGGTTTCCCATTTCTGATGATGCCCAGTAATCCTGTTAGCGTAGCATACATACCTGCGTGGTGAAGCTGAGAGGCCATTCCCTGTTACCCTTCAGGGACTCTGATCATCGTGTTTTTATGTGCAGCTGGGATCCTTAGTAATTAGGGGCGTAATGGTACACAAAGTTCACGGCTTGGTAAAAACCTTTTGTTTTGGGTTTGGTGCGATATCAGTTCGGCAGGGAAAACAATTTTATTTTAATAACTTATTAAAACTTCAAGCCCAATTTGTAACAGTTAAAAAAATAAAAGGCAATGCATCTGTCTGTGTCTCTGAATGACAAAACCATAGACATTTATTTGCACGTTGTAGAAACAATTTTATGTATTAAAAAAAAAAAAAGAAAATAGCGCAACAATCAAATTGAACTCAATCCCATGTAAATAATTTGTTCTCTACTACTAAGTACGCCAGGCCTGAATTTCCTGGCAAAGTGATTTAAATGCCATAGGAAGACTGTCTTGTGGAGGCGGTTTCTGCTTTGCTGCCTCCGGTCGTAAACACTGAGGAGATGTCATTTCATGCTGCTGCTGGAAACACTTGCGACACATCGAAGTTCAGTACAACAGAGCCGGCAGACAGTCTTAGTCTTATCAAGTACTCTCTGTGTAATCTACTGTTCCTAAACAATCAATTATTGTACTAGCCGTAACCAATCCATAGCCACGATTAGTATGTTTAGT